TCTTCCTCTTCCAAATCCACCATTTCTCCCTCACCCTCTCGCTACCTAACTTCTCAGTATCTGCAGACTAAGAGAGAGAGAGAGAGAGAGAGAGAGAGAGAGAGAGAGAGAGAGAGAGAGAGAGAGAGAGAGAGAGAGAGAGATTAGTGATTTTGGGACTTGATATTGAGACATTGGACGCCCAATCAAGTAGCCAGCTTGCTTGATCTTCTGATTGTTGATTGATTGATTGACTGATTGAAATCAAGTAGGACTTCGTCAATTCTCTGCAAATTTTTTTCTTTCTTGCAACAAATATCTGAAAACTTCTGATAATAACATTTCGTTTTATCTGAAAATTTATGATATTAGCATTTCGTTTTATATGAAAATTTCTGATGTTAGCATTTCGTTTTCACGAGATAAATATCTGAAAATTTATGATAGTAGCATTTCGTTTTTACGAGATAAATATCTGAAAATTTATGATAGTAGCATTTCGTTTCTCTAATATTAGCATCCGAAAAATTCTGATATTTGCATTTATAGCCGAAAATTTCTGATGTTAGCATCTTGTTTTTCTAGGCATATTAGGATAATGAAAGAGGTTATCATATTATGAGAAACTGGATTTATTCTTTTATGAAAATCTAATCTCCATTCTATTTCACAAAAAAATGGTTTCTGGAAGCCAAAATTTTGCGAAGCCTATCAACATTTCATTTGCTAGGCATAATAGGGGGTTGTCATATTCTCAAAAAGTGGATTTATTCTTTTCTGAAAATCAAATCTGTACCTTATTTTTTGCACAAAGTTTTTAAAAATCGCAATTTTTTTTTTTAAGCCGAAATTTTGTGAAGCCTCGCCTAGATCTTACTCTTAACACTCCTCTGTAAAATGCCTCACTGATATCAAATCGACAGATTTCTAGGCTACCAGAATGGTCCGGGGTCACTTGCCTGGCCGGGCCAAAAATAGATAAATAATTTAATAAATAAATAAAAATAAACAAATGAGTTTTAAATTTTATTTTTTATTTTAAATTTGGTGAAGAATTTCGATGTGACCCTGTGGCAAAAGTTGTTTAGATTATTTTTCTGCAATAACATAGTTTTGTTTCGGAGTTTTTGGATTTTTTTGATTTTATTTTTTTTGCTCGGACCTTCCTTGGTTTTTGCACGGGCTGGCCACTCGGGACCCGGGTGGCCCAGCTGGTAGCCTAGACAAATTTTCAAAAAAAAAAAAAAAGGGGGGGGGATCCTCTTCTTTTTTTTTATATTTTATTTTTTTTAGTCTGTTGATTAGGACCGGGAGAAAAGTATAGTTTGGTTGGTTACCTTCCAACGTTTTCCCTCCCACCCAACCCTTTGCCTGCATTCCCGGTTTAGTAAGTGCCACATCAGCGGCAGTGCCACCTCAGCAGCAGTGCCAGGTCATCTGCAGTGCCACGTCAACGGCAGTGCCACGTTAGCAACAGTGTCACATCAGCGGTAGTGCCACGTCAGCAGCAGTGCCACGTCAGCGGCAGTGCCACGTCAGCAGCAGTGCCACGTCACTGATAGTGCCATGTTAGCAGTACCACGTCAGCAGGGCCTCGCCACCATGACGGGTTCATCATTGGGCATGCACACGAGAAGTCAACGTGGCAGCCAGCCCATGTGGAGAAAGGAAGATTTGGTCCGTGTCCGCAACCCGTCGTTGCAGTCCAACCGGACAACATCGTGGAAGACCCGACAACCTACGTGACACCCGCGGCCTAGGCCATGGGCAATTTGGCCGCCGCAGCCGAAAAAGTCGGCCACGGCCACGGCCAATTACGCTTTGTCCGCGACCTGGTTTTTTTTTTTTTTTTAATACACCTAAAAATACGTAAAAAAAAAAAAACAAAGATAGGGTTGTAGGGCTTGCAAAATCCTACAATCACTATGTTAAAATCCGGGCCGCCCGACGGCACAGCCTTCGTCTCGCAGGGGTCCCGGGCGGCCCAACCGGTCGGGTCCCCCGGTTTGGCGCCGGGCGGGCCCAGCGCAATTTTGCGCAGGGAGGGGGGGGAGGCATTTTTTCGAGTTTTTTGGCCAGTGGCAGCCTCCCCGCCCCCCCGCGCGAAATTCCCCCCGCGTTACTGCCACCGTAGCCTTGATTCGCCCCCTGGTTACCTACGACGCCGCTTTCGAATTCGAACGCAGTATTCCCCGCTTCGCTGCATCGCTGCATTTCCGAAGCCCACCATTGCTGCCGTCTCCAAGCTCGCCAGTCGTCGCTCCTCGTAGAGCTGCCCCATCGTCGCCATCGAGCTGTGCCCCGTCGTCGTCATCGAGGTGCCCCGTCGTCGGTCGTTGTCGTCGTTGCTGCCGTCTTGAAGCCCGCGCGTCATCACTCCCCGTTGACCTGCCCCGTCGAGCAGCCCTCCCCATCGTCGACGCCCGTCAAGGTCCTGTCCCGTCGTGGTGTATCCGCCTCCACCTCCTTCCTTCCTCTTCTTCTTCTTTTTCTTCCTCTCCTCCGCCTCCACCTCCTTTCGTCTTCTTCTTCTTCTTCTCCTCCTCCTTTCCTCCTCTTCCTCTTCTCCTCCTCCTCCTCCTCCTCCTCCTCCTCCTCCTCCTCCTCCTTTCATCTTCTTCTCCCGTCCTTGTCCTCCTCGTCCTCCTCCTCCACCTCCTTTCGACTTCTTCTCTCCTCCTCCTCCTCCTCCTCCTCCTCCTCCCTTCGTCTTCTTCTCTCCTCCTCCTCCACCTCCTCCTCCTCCTCCTTTCTCCTCCTCCTCCTCCCTATTTCGTTGGAGTTCATTATTAAACGAAGTGCCACGTGGCAACAGCAGTGCGCTGTGAACTGCCACGTGTCAGGATTCCTCTCTCTCTCTCTCTCTCTCTCTCTCTCTCTCTTTCTCTCTCTCTCTCTCCCTCTCTCTCTCTCTCTC